ATCGCACACTCGAAAATCCGATCTTCTCCAGTCGAAATTCTTCGTTACAATTGCAAACGTTGATCGAGGCGAATATACTGATCAGTTTGCCAGTGCACAGCGGAGAGATTCCGGTAAGTATTTTGGCAGCCATATTTGTGTGCAGACCGTGTCAATGTGTACCACTTAATCAATGTCACCTTATAAAAGCCAAAGCGACGTCGACCTCAATTCTCACGTGACCAACGTCTTATTATACTAGTTAGTATACAGTGACGTCAGACGCGAAAGCTATACTAGAATATAGCTAATATGGCTAAGCAGAACACATTTTTTTTGACCAGAATATCTGGAAATAGGTCTTTGCCTGGAAATGTCATGATCCATGTTATTTACAGTATTTATGTACATTCGTTAGTAAATCATATAATGCTGAAGTTACTAAAACATCGTTTAATACCCAAACAAGCCTAAAAAGCCGTTTCGAGCCTCAAATATGAAAAACAATAATTCTGGTGGGGACTCGGTTCATATAATACATAAGCAATGTCCATATGCTGGATATATCGTTGGTATATTTATATCATCTGAAATATAAGTTTGAAAACTTCCATTGAAATTTATAAATATTTGTAAAAATCAAGAAAGTCGGTTTGTTGTGTCGATAGAAACCTGATTTGTACATTGTCATATGGTTTAATTGCAGCACAAGAGCTCCTAAAATGTGGGCGGACCTTTTTTGCCCACACGCGAGATTTTACATAACGGATTTGTAACAGTGTAGGTTTTAGTTTATTATCGACCTTTGCTCTTAGTCGCGTTTGTTAATGTTGATGGTGACGGCTTCCGTAGCCATTATTGGCACTACGCCGATTGAGTTGAATTGCCGTTGAATGTAATGTAGCGATTTTTCGTCGTCACTGAATCCGGGTCTTCTAGTTTGCAGTTTTTAATTAGATTGGCGTTTTCATAGGGGGTATATTTACTACTAATTATAGCCAATAGACAGAATAGAGTTGTATGACTGTAATATCCTGCGATAGGTCGGACGTTTGCCAGCAACGCACTGACAAACAACATCGATCCAGTGGTTTAGCAACTACTTGGCTCGACCATGGCGGTATAATCTGTTTATACCTCCATGGCTTGACTCAAAAAAAGTTCAGTGGTCACGAGTAGGTTAGTTTCGTCCTCTATGATAAAGGAACTGTGGTTACACACCTCCTCCAAATTTCGCCACGAGATAAAAGCGAACTAACCGACTCACTCGTCGAGATTAGAGACGTATATGTGGGTTTTACCATATACCTTAGAATAGGTCTATGGTTTTACATGCAAGCTATTATTAAAGGTAATGAACAAATAAACACTCGAATTTATGGAACTAATCGACTCATTATTTTGAAGTTTGTACGCAGTTAACTAGAAAATACCCATGATTCTCCGATTCATTTTACATTTTGCTATTTTCTGTAGTATGTCATCAAATCAATAATAAATTTAAATAAAATGAAAGTGTATGATCAATATAAATGAAACATATTTAAAGGGCGCTAGACGTTGCGCCACACATGCGCGAGATGTATGGGTCTTGTATAAACAAAGATGGCGACTTTGTCGCATACGACTTATTTACCACTTCCGTGTCACTGAGAATGTTCTAGAACCGTACTGTGTCTGGGTGGAATATTCTAGATTTTTTTAGAAACTGGTTGAATATGTAATAGAACACTGTAGGAGGCAATAGAAGGTAATGAAACATTCTAGAAATTTGTAGTAAGTGCCAGACTCATTATGTATGCTGATGCATTAATGGTCTATTTATAGACAGTGTGGGCATATATATGGGAGTTGTTCAGCACTGAGTTCAGACCGGAGATCTCGTTGAATTGTATTGGAGTTTAAGTATCTAGTTATTGGAGTAGTGGAGTTTTACCGCGTTATTGTACTTGATGTTTGCAGAATATATTAATACCAGTACCAGTTGAAACCTCATCTGTTGGCTCAGTGTTCGTATGTTATCATCGCCGCCAGGGAATTCTTTATGTTACTGTTGCCATTTGGTATTTGTATCAGGGGGAAATTCTCTCTTTCTCGGGTTCTCCACGCTTGCCAGGGGGGAATCTCGTCTCGTCTCTCTATCTCGTCCCCTTGAGGTACGGGATCGGGAAAGTCACTTTAACTTTACAGTCAAATAAGACACACACAACGAAATACGTTTCAGCTCTCGTCTTAGTCGATCTTTTGGAGCACTCTATAAGACACAGCGCCCTGGGGAAAAGTCCCCAAGACTCTCTTAAGGCTGAACCAAGACTCGCCCAAGACTGGACTGCGTCAAGGCTCGCCCCAAGACTCTCTCGGACTCTCAGATTGCGTCTATCGTAGAGTATTCGCCAAGACCAACTCAAACTCTTTTTATTCATTTTCAAAACTCTAACCAATTACAAAGCAGTAAAAAGACTCTAAGGCGTAACCTTCAATCATAAAGCCAATCAAACTAAGTACTGAATACGTCATATCCTTTGATTAATCGTTCACTACATTAATAACTACGGATGTCAGAATAGCGACGGTATCTTGTAATTAGTTCCAAATCACTGAGCCAAGTTCCGTCCAAAACTTCAAATAGGCCTACACGATGACAGACATAACACAGCAATTCGCTAATAATCAGTTAATTAAGTCGGTCAACAGATACGCAAAAACAAATTCATGACACATCCCTTCACCCAAACTGAGATATGCCTCTCGGCATTGCACGTTCACAAATCAAAGATACCGTCCTCTACTCATCGTCATACAGGTTAAATACAGTACTAATAAAAGGTATAAATCAAAAAGAGTAAAACACACTAATTAAGTACAATGATTATAAAGTCTAAATACAATGGTTATAAAGTCTCAAATATCGAC